GTGGAACGGGACGGGAGCGCGCGGTCCCACCACAGCTCCTCCTTAAAGTCCTCGAGCCACTGCTCGACCAAGCGTTAGCGGGCCTTCATGCCGAGCTTTAAAAGCGTCGACATGAGACCGATGGGCCTTTCGATGGCCTCGGTCTTAGCCAGCATCACGAAGACCGAGGAAGGGCGCCTGGAAACTGAAGTCGGGGCTTGAGTAGAAGTTCCTGCAGTACTGGCCTGCTCGCTTGCGTTTTCGAGATCTACGTTCCTAGCTTGGTAACCCATGTCACGCTGCTTCTGTCTACACTGCGCTTCAAAGTGACCGTACTTGTGACAGTAGTGACAAACTCCTGTTGCTGCTTGGGCCTTTCTTTTGCGTTTGCCTTTGTAGTTACCAAAGCCACCAAAACCTTTACCTCTGCCTTTGTGTCCTCCTCGACCTCGACCTTTGTAACCTCTGAAACCTCTACCTCGACCTTTCCAGTTTCCACCTCGGCCTCTACCTTTGCCTTTTCCTTTGCGTTTGTTGTCTCCGAAACCCTTTCCAAAGTCCTTTTTTACCTTTGCCTTTACCTTTGCCTTTGCCATAGCCTTTGCAACCACCTTTGCCAAACCACTTTCCTTTACCCCATGCTTGGTTGATGTCCATTGCGGCAACACCTCCATGATCCTCACCTTTATCGATAAGGTCAGTAGTGGTCCTATAAGGGGTTCCTTGCTGCTGTTGGGCTAGGGAGTTGGTCCAACGCTCTGTTGACTCGTAGTTCACAAGGTACTGACGAAGGTACATGTACTTAGTCTTCTCGTCAAGGTTCAACAACAAGTGCCTTTTCACCTCGGGCCTCATTCCTTGGATTAGGGTAGAAACTTTCAGGTTTTCCTGCACCTTTTCTCCGGTACTCTTCTCATACTGCTCAATGCGTTCCTCGTATTCGAGGATGTTCTCAGCTATTCCTTCGTCCTTATGGAATCTATAGTTCAAAATGTTGTGAAACAGTTCCAGTGACCTTGCCCTGTTCACTGGCTGGTATTCCTTCATCAACATACGATAGGCTTGCATACCATTTTCCTCTGGGGTGTGCTTTACAACACGATAGGGTCTTCCTTTCGTGTAAGAACAAAGAATGCTGTACAGTTTCCTACTCGCTTCATTTCCTTCAGTGGTTAGCTCACTCATGGGCACAGACTTATCTTCTTTCAGGTTCCTTTCCACTGTGTCCACCACTTTGACAAGACGCTCGTCTAAAGCACCTAACCAGATCCTCATCCTCTGCTTGAACTCGTTGAAGCCACTCTTCTCTTCTTGCCATGTTCCTGGATTGAAAGCTTCAGGGGCTTTGATCAACTTATGGAGTTCCACTTCACCAGGCTTTCTTTCCTTCACAGCCTTTTCCAGGCTTGCTCCTATCTCTTCAATGGTTGTCACTGTTGACTGCTGAGCTGCAGTGAGTGCCTGTTGTGCTGCTGAGCTTTGTTCCTGTACTGCTGCTACTGTTTGCTGGAATGCTTGTGCCAATCCTGCTTCTCTTTGGCTTCCTGATGCTGCTGTGTTCCTGATCTCCTCTGCTAGTGTCTGTATGCCTTGCAAAACTTCTGCTAGTTGCTTCAATGCTTCCTCCATTCCTTGCGCTGCTTGCAAGTTGCTGTAGATGAGCACTATGAGCAATAGCGTTCTGTAGTTCCTTCTTGTTCCTGCATTTTCTCTCTTGCTCCTGACCTTGTTCATGCCGGTCAAGTTCCTTCTCTTCTGCACTGTTACGAAGAACAAATGCGAAAAACGTAATAGGACGATCCAAGTAACCAATCCTAAAGGTGTTCCTGTACAAACTATCAGCTTGACTAGTTCCAGTCCTAGTCCATGCACGACGTCGCGAAACAAACTCTCGACTTTCCGGAAAAACTCTCTCAGTACTTAGTACTTCTTGTTCCTGATACACTTCTTTTACTAGGTACCTAGGGGCGTAGCCGGACTCAAGGCTCTCACACTCCTGGTTCTCGCTGTTCACGGTTCCTTCTTTCTTGTAGTCACTCTCGTTCCTGATCGTGTAGGCGGTGGCTATGGCGAAATCCGCTCGCCGCACCCGTGGGAAAATCCCACTAAACGCACAAAATCCTGAACCCGAAACTTTCAATCCTAAACTTACCCTACACCCCAAAATCCTAAACCCTAAATCCTAAACCCTAAACCCTAAACCCTACACCCCAAAATCCTAAACCCTACACGCCCCTAAACCCTAGTCCATTGCTGTTCCTGTTTCAGGCTTGGGACTGCGGGCTGATCGCGGTAAGTTAGGATGAAGGACCCAGAAGCCCCCCAACACCCCTTAAATAAGGAAGCCAAGGACGCCAAGGACGCCAAGAAGCCGAAAGCCAGAAAGACAACCTAAACCCTAAACCCTAAACCGACAAGAAGGCAGGATGCTTCAAGCCGGAAGGCTAAAAGAGTTCAAGTGGCGAGGCCGAGGCCAGGAAGCCAGCAAACCAAAAGCCGAGAGACCGCGCACGCACCCAAGCCAAAAAAAAATCCCCAAACAAACAATAATAATAAATACGCCTCCGTAAGGGTCTGGAATTAGTTTGGGGTTTAGGGTTCTAATTTTTAGGACAATAGGGTTTGGGGGTTAGGGTTTGGGGGTTAAGGTATACGTTTTTTTTTTGGGGGGGGGTCAGGGTATAGGGTTTAGCGTTTAGGGTTTACTGTTTAGGGCTTATGGGGTTTAGACTTCCACGGCCCCAAGAGCTACATCTGCACTACCGCGTAAACTCCTAAACTCAGCAGCGGAAGCGTGAAACTACAGATCCTGTACCCAAACGACCATAAACCCCAGAGCCCCGAACCCAGCCTAGGCCCTAAACCTCCCTAGACCCAAACATCCCTCAAACCTACCAAACCAAGCATCCAGAACCTACAAACCCTGTATCCTAAACCCTAAACCCTAAACCCTGTATCCCTAATGTAAATCATCCATGCACCCTACATCCCAAACCCTTAACCTCAACCGTAGAATCATCAGGAGGCCCGGCTCATTCTTTGTATGAGCCGCGCTTTGGCATTGGCGTGGAACTGATAGAAGGCCTTGAGGGTTTAGGGTTTAGGGTTTAGGGTTTAGGGTCTAGGGTTTAGGGTTTAGGGTTTAGGGTTTAGGGTTTAGGGCCGAACGCTTCCCGGATGCTCCATTTATCAGGATTCTCGGCTTTGGAGTGCTCTCTCGGGTATAGATCTTTGCTGCTTTTTGCATGTTGCGGCGAGGGTTTCGGGATCCTAACCCTGAACGAACCCCTTCACCCTAAACCCTGAACCCTGAACCTCTGTTCCTTTTCCTCATCACGATCTTCTGCTGTGTGGATTACCGCTGGGGCCACGGCCCTAAACCCAACATGCTCAGAGGCCTTGTGCCTAAGGAGGCAAGTTTGAAGAACCGGATCTCTGTAAAACCTAAAGCCATGGTTTAGGGTTTAGGCTTTAGGGATATAGGGCCTTAGGATTTTAGGGTTTTAGGGTTTAGGGTTTAGGGCTTTAAAACTGTGTAGAGCCTAATCCCTCTGAAGCCTGAACCCTGATTACACCGCTTTGTCACCCTGACCCCCAGACCCGCAAGCGCTCAATCCTAAACCCTAAACCCTGAACCCTGAACCCTGAACTCTGAACCCTAAACCCTGAACCCTGAACCCTGAACCCTGAACCCTGAACCCTAAACCCTAAACCCTGAACCCTGAACCCTGAACTCTGAAGCCTGAACCCTAAAACGGCGTAAGGCTGTCAGGGCTTGGAGTGTCTGACGGCAAGCTGCATTCATCACCTTCGCAAAGCGATCGGCGTCCTCAGGGAAGCTGTGCTCTCCGAGGAAGGGTTACGATCAGGGCTGCTACAAGCGGTGGTGTGTTCGTATGGGTAATTCTCTAAAATACGGCCCCTTTGGGGGTCCTTTTTATAAGGGTGCCGTACTATATCGGGAGACTTTGAAAGGGGCCCTAATTTACAGAACTACCCATATGGTGTAACAAAAACGGATGTGGGGCTGGGCTTCGGGTTTCGGGTCCAGATGGAGGTAAGGAGAGAAGGCTACAAAGGGGTAGCTATGCTTGCATGGGGATTAGTCTCGGGGCCTTAATCATTAGAATAATGGTTTGGGGGTATACAGTACTATAAATCATAATAAGGAACCCCCAAAACCCTATTCTAATCCCTAGACCCTAAACCCTAAACCCTACATGACGGTCCACAACCTGGAAGTTCGGGTGGTAGATTTTGGGCTTTGGGAACCATGGGGCGATCCTGTCAACCAGACGACAGCTTGGAGCGCAGACTACATTTATGTTTAGTAATGGCGATGCTATATGAGATGAGTGTTGAGGCTATCTGGGCATTGTTGAAAGAAAGCAGAGTAAACCCTAAACCCAAAACCCTAAACCCCTAAGCACCTAAACCCTTATACCCTTATACCCTTAAATCCTTAAACCCCTAAACCCTACACCCCTAAACCTCTAAACC